CGCGTTCTGACCATAACGCATGGGATGAACTGTTAGCCATGGCCGAGTTTGCAATGAACAACTCGAAAAATAGTTCCACCCAAGAGACCCCATTCTATTTGAATTACGGTCGACACCCAAAGAGTCCCTTAACTCTTGGGGTGCAAATTCGGAAGCCTTTAAAAGGCTATAACAATCCGAATGCCCGTGGCTTGGCAGTGGCCATTGATAGAGCACAACAACCTTATTTGAGGCAGACTGGTACACCCCTCATGAAGGGATTACCAGCAGTGACACGATTTGATCACCATGTCCAATCAGCGCTGAAAGAGGCCAGGGCGTGTTTAGAAAAAGCACGAGATAGGCAGTCAAAGCATGCTGACCGCCATAGGAGGGATGTGTCGTTTAATAAAGGAGATGACATCCTCTTTTAGACACAACATATCACCCTCAAGCACCCTGGAACTCGGAAGTTATTACCAAGGTGGATTGGGCCCTTCACCATCCTCGACCGGATAGGTTCTGTTGCATACCAATTAGAACTACCGGAAAGCATGCATAAGATACATCAAGTATTTCATGTATTGAAGATTAAGCCTTATAAGGCAAGTGGCACAGTACAGCCACCACCAGTTCCTATCAAAATCGAAGGAGAACTGGAATATGAAGTTGAACGCATCCTAGATAAGAGGATTAAAAAGCGTGGCCGACGACAGGACTCCATAGAATACCTTGTCAAATGGTTGGGTTATGGTCATGAACATAATAGCTGGGAATCAGCAAAGGCAGTTGTGATACACAAGAAGTAGTTCAAGCATTTGAAAATGGAAGAACTCCTATTGTGCACGTGCAAACTGACCACAGTACGAAAAGTACATGACGAAACGAACTTGAATGCGAATGTGCATGTGACAGGTCTTGCTAAAATGGGCCCAGAAGCACACCGGTTATACCGGACCCCGCTCACACACGTTGTTTGGACATATGAATGCTATGTCCCTTGCAATTTTGAGCGGGGAGAGGGTGGACCATGACGGCCCTGTTGTCAACCCCCCGAGAGCCCCAACTCGTGTGCGTCCGAGGGCACGGCGACAGCAGCAGCACCCTCGAGGAGGACGGGGTTGGATGGCTGGTGGAGGCCGGGGCCGAGTAGGATGACCTGCATGATTTGATTTTTCAGCAGTGGACACAGGCCGAAAGGCCAGGGACTGAACATTCCAGCCTATGGGCTGAAGGAAGAGTTTTAATAAGGGTTGTAGGGAGGCCGACAGGTCATGTAACAACCACTCTTTCTCTTCATCACAGTTGCATTGCAACCACGCGACCTGGGCATGTGGCAAATCGCACAGCCAGTTGCGGCGTATATAATTATGTTTCTACTCCTGTATCTACTTAATGGGACGAGGACGCCCCTCTCCCTGAGGGGGACTAATGTTACGCGCAGTGGCCTGATGTAGGGGACGCCTTACTCATGGCCCTTGGTGTGGGGTATGCCCTGCCCAAGATACATAATCCTCAACCTATCGTAACCGTTCTAGGTATTAGGATACGGGAGTAGGAGGGGTGGTCCCGCCTAGGTCCCCGTAAGGACCTAGGTCCGGTGCCCGGCGAGGTGGGTCTGCGGCTCAAAGAGGGCAGGAGCCCCACACCCACAATCTTTTCGTATCAACAATCCCGTCGCCTCTACGTGGTGTTGTGGAAAGGTTATCCACTCACTGAGGCTAGCTAGGAGCCCGAATCGAGTCTCCAGAATGCTTTTGAGATCCTAGAGGACTATCTGTGCTGGGTCATTGAGGAGGAACAGCAATGACCTAAAACCAGAAGGGGTCGGAAGAAGTAGTTGTTGGTGCCTCCGAGGAGTTACCATGGGGCTGGTTTCAATTCCTTGGGATGGGTACAGCTGGTGTCATGGCTGGTAGCGAGGAGGGAAATCACGTTCGGAGCACCGAATCCTTACGGGTCCAACATATAGGTGGCAGCTGCGCCTAGGGGTGGTCAGTTATAAAAACCCAAGTCGGTGTCAGAGGCGCTACTCTTCTTACCTTGGGTATTCTTTCTTTTCTTTTGTCTTCCTCTTGGGTCCGCGTCTAAGGAAATCCGGTCTCATATGGGGGGGAGCGATGTTGTGACTATTGGACATTTGGTCAATTATAGGGTAATTCTAGTTACTATATATTGTTGTTGGGAAGCAGCATTAGGGGGGACTATTGGGATTGTTTAAAGTCGATTGTATTTAGTTACTTTAGAGTTTTTAGGCCCACCACTTAATGGTCGAACATTATTACAATCTGGCCAGTCTATTGAACATTACTTTATACCGGTTGTGCCATTGTATTGTGTCTCCTGCGTGTAACAAGTTCACTGGGAACCCGCCTCCGTGCCTCCAACCAACCGACCGGGAAGTGCCCAACGGGGCACAACAATCAATTTCAGGATGCTCCATGTGACACAGTGACTTGTCAAGCCAATGGTAGATATGTCGCACTACAACGTGCATGCGCTATGTATGGTATATGTCTACATGCCTACCAAGAGTTTTTGTTTGCTCTTTGAATATGTCACGTTCCACCAATGCGACCTCCTAGCCTTTCAATTACCCAAAACACACTCCAAATCTCTTTAAGCTATTCCCATCAAATGTGGCCGCAAATTAGAGATCAATGACTATCATACATACCCCAGTTCTGTACACAATCAGGCAATACGATTGTCAATCAACTACGGCTCAAGAAAATAGCTCAATTGTCCAATGTTCTTTAAATAACCTACAACATTAATCAACCGATCGACCAGCCCCCTGACAGAGAACAAATTTTGTTAAGTATTGTATCAAACTCCTCAAGCTTTCATGATGGCCTGTTTCTCCAATCTCAAGGAAATACCATTGGATGACCCTCAACGGCCCAAAGACCATCTTTTAAGGATCAATACATCCTTATATGATGGAATTAACTTCCTAAACTATTGTGCACATATGTCTTGAAATACGACATATTCCTAACGCCATTCTATCCATCACAAACATTGTTAACCATAGCGCATAATATATTGCGGCTTGAACTAGTGAAAAATGGCTGCCTCGCTATGTCCAAACTCAGTCAATCTTCTCCTAATTCTTACCAGGATCAAATTGTCCATATTGGTCAACCGTTATGGCAGCTCTTTCACCTTCACTTTCACAGATTTTAGTTTAAACTGTCTCCCAGACTACTGCACAATCCTGCCACCATAAGTGCTGCATTTTCTCATAAATTTGGCAGCATTTTCCCCCCCTTTTATTTCTTTTCATACTCCAGTAACATGCATAGCGTTCTAGTCTATCTTCTATCCACGCTGGCTGTATTCTGGGAAAATTTCTGAGCGTTTCCCCTAGGGTTTTGGCTTTTCATCACCAGGCCTGTCCCATACATCTATAGTGCTGCTTTAGGGCCGTTTTTACATGGTCCTTGAGGCTGAAAAGTGCCTCCTTAAAGTATGAGCAGCATTTGTGTGTGGCCTTTGAGTGTTTTGCACTATCTCTATTTCACTCTTTCCCCTTTGATGCTCAGGAACGGGCTGGCCATGCTTGCTTACTATTAATTAATATTGTGCGGATATTACAGCGTGCTCTTCGCTTTTCTGCATCGCTGGGCGGCTGTCCACGTCAAGCTGACTGGCCTACGGTCTAGTGACATCCAGTCAGTCGCCTTTTGTCGGTCATGAGCTCGTCATTGGATGACGTGGCCCAATGAATAACGGCGAATTTGACACTTTTTGGCTGGGGAAGGGGTGGGAGTGGCCGTCCTTGCCGCCAAAATAGACTGGTGTGTCAGTGGCAAGACCGTGGCACTTATTTGTGAAATTAGGGGGCCCCACGTCGCCAGACTGGTCGTCCTGCCGTCCTACGGTGCATGTACCGCCCACTTACCGTACGCTGTACCTCGCACCCCAACAACCATGCTCCTGCCCCCCCGGACGCCCATCTCACATCCGTGCCCTGTCGCACCCTTCTCAAACCCACGCGATCCCCTTGACGCGCCTCCAACCCCAGAACGCCCCAAACCCCAGTACATTATCACACGCCGACCTGTACATTATCGTTTCACTGCAGCACCCCCCACATTTGGCCATATCCGCACCACACCCCAGCATTGGCCAGGGTTGGAAGAGGAGCGGCGCTGCAGCGGTTGCCTGGCGGTCGTCTTTTGGACTTGGGCGCAAGACTTTGGAAAGGAGAGGGGGGAAAGTGGGGCACTGCACCCCCGGGGTCGGCCGGCGGCGGACATGGACGTGCTGGAGGAGATCGCCAAGTCGCGGCGGCGCGAGTACACCTCCAGGATCGCCAGTCAGAGGGAGATGAACATACGTCTGCGGGAGAAGGTGCAGGCCAGGTGGGCGGGGCGCCGGGGCCGGGGCGTGGAGGCAGAAGCGCAGATGCTTGTTGCGGTGGGATGAGCCCGGGGGGGGGAAGGGGGGTAAAACGAAACATGGGATTGGACTGGTGGGGGCTTTCCCTTGGGTTCGTCGGATGGGTCTTGTTGCGGAGGTTGTGTGCGGGCAGCGGGCTGGCTCGGCCGGGAGAGTGCAGTCGTCGCGGTGGCCCGCGCGGATGGCGGACGAGGGCCGGCGGCGCGATCGCGGGGCTTGGTAGGAAGGAATGGTCAGAGGAGTTGATGTTCGGACGCATTGATCGTCGCGGGTGTCGCCGAATCGTGGGATCGCAGTGCCCACCCGGGCGCTGGACGTGGCGGTCGGTGAATCGCGGGGAGGGCGGCCGTGTGGGCGGCTGGGTTAGCGATGGCGTGTCGCGTTTCTGGCCGTTCGGTTGCGGTACGTCACCGGAGGAAAGAAGCTGGGACTTCAAATGCCAGCGCCGCGCTCCCCAATGCGGGGTAGAGGGCCTCGGAAGATCATTCTGAGGCCAGCCGCGTTCGATCCGCTGCAGTCCACCCTGCTGCGCCTCGCCCTTCCCCGGATCCGCTTGGGGTCAATTTGCGTCCCGCGACGCGCTAACTGACAGTACCCTTTCTTCCGACGAGCAGCAAGGCGGCCTTCGACCGGCTGAAGATGGGCCTGTGCCCCGAGGCCTCGGACAGGGTGGCGGGCCTGAGGCGGCGCTGGCGCGGGAAGCGCAAGGTGAAGCGCATGGAGGCGCTGGAGCGCGGCGCGGGAAGCAGCGACGATGACTGGGACGACTGGGACGACGTCGAGCTGCCCGTGAAGAAGTGCCGGCAGGTGTCGCCGGTCGCGGGACTCGCGCTTCACTGAGCGCGACGCCGCGCCAAGCGGACGGCGGGCATTAAATAAGGGAAGAACTGAAGGGCTGGAAGACACCGGTGGTGCCTGCGCTCGAAGGGCAGGAATAAGGCTTCGAGGGCAGGGGGGCCCGTTGCCCCATCGCGGGCGCGGGCAGGAGGCCCCCGCGAGGGGTGCGGCCCTCCCCTTCGCCCGGATGTGGATCTCGACGGAGGCGAGAACGCGTCTGTTTTTGTTTCGGAGCATCGGGCAGCTTGAGGCGCGCGAGACGAGCTGGCATCTCATAAGAGAAAATCGGGAGGCAGAAGCCGCAGGGAATAAGCCCGAGGCGCTTGTTAGCGCGCACCTAAACCGCCAGCAAGTGCGCGCCTCGCTACCGTTCTTTTCTTCACGCGCTGGGCGCGCGTCGCCCGCGTTTTGTCACCCGACTTGTTTGTCGTGGGAAGGCCTGCGCGCTGGCCTGTGTACTTGCGTCATAATTTCGACTGCTTGCTGAATTTTTTGGTCCCCGCGAACCGCTGTGGGAAGTCGAGGGGCTTGGTTGCCGGGAGCCGGCCAGATAAAACGGCCCCGCCCTTGTGTACTACTGCACTCTTTTCAGTTGAGGCCACTGGCCTTCGAATTGCTTGTTGAACCGAATGGGAGGATATTAAGTTGTGCACGAGTTGCCGACATTTTGATAAGTAACGGGGAAGCATGTTAAATTCCGACGTGCTGCTCTAGCTATTAAAAGCACATAAGATGGCATGTGTTGATTTGGGACGTTTGTCGACCCAGAGAACTTATTGTAATAAACACTCGCGTTCTTTGAGTCAGAAGTGTGGGTGGTGCAACTAGGAGACCGGGGAGCCAGCAACAAGGGCAGGCATTCCTCTCCGACTGGCAGGCAGGCTAGTGCCCCGTCATGCACGGTCAAATATGGATGCAAGACATACTGCTGAAAGTTGGGAGCCAGCCAGTTGAGGCAACAGCTTAGACTCGGGGTTCAGGGTGCACAGGTTGCTGTGTGGCACCCAATCGGTGCTGATGTTCAGCAAGTTGTTTGCAGCGCTGATTGGGTGCCGTCATGGCCTGTCTGTATCCAGGAACCTGGACATGGTATGCATGCTAATGTGGTGAGGCACCCAATGTGCAAAGGCTTGGCAGTGCATCGCAAGCGATGCTGCAAGCCTTTGCGCTGGTTCGATGGGCAACCCGACAAAGTGACATCAGACGACTCGATTCAAATTGTGGAAGTTTCTGGGAAGGTCAACTCTGAAAAGTAACTTACCAGGAAGTTTTGTTCGGAAGTCAAAAAGTCATGGAAAGGCACCCTTGTCACAGCTCGACCTGATGGCCTGGAAATCTCCAACTCGCAGCCCAGCGTATCCAGGAATATTCCCAGATGATTCCACTGCAATGATCTTCTTCCCCTGAGTAAGAACATTGTATTGGAATATGTTGAATATGAGATGGAAGCCTTACATCGTCACACCAGGCAACACTAGAGTGCCACAAACGACAGGAGAGTACGCCCGTGGGGTTTTGTATGCCCTAGCTGCTTGGGCGCAATCGTTAACATGTGATTCATTGGCCGCTGCATAAATTGCTGAATGTGGGCTTCTGCTGTGGCTACAGTGGCCCTGGTACCTGATCGCATTGCCCATTGTTGACTGGTCATTGTTGTCGAATGGTGAAGTCCCTGGTTATCATTGTTGGTATCTAAGTGCAGGATTTGGCAGTGTTTTCTTGATATGCATTTGTGATCGTTTGAATGGGCAACGTGCTGTTTGCCGAACAACTCAAATCATCGAGGGTTCCACGGAAAGGGCCTGGGGCTTGTGCTCTGTGAAACTGGAATCGGGCGCTTGCTAGTTCTGGTGGTAGATTTGGTGCATGCATCAGATCCACGTCCCTGTTTTCAACGCGCATGCCGTCATCCAACGTTTGCTGAACCGTGTGGAGAGGAGACAGAGGGACACACCACCACACCCACCCAGGGCGCACCCCGCAGCAAACGCGCACAATTGCGGAACACCAAAACTCGACAAAGCGGAATGTGATCAATGAAAAAAGTCCATGGTTCGAAAATACACTGCACGAATCCGCACAAAAGAACACACTATCCTCACGCCGCGGCAGTTCGCCAGCACACCACACCGCCGGTGGCCCCCTTTCCCCATCCAGCCACATCCACACCAGCACCGTCCCGTGTGCTCACCACCCCGCCAATCCCTCTGCCGCACAGGGCGGCCACCTTCGACTTCTCGGGAGCCAGCGCCCAGCCACCGTCCAACGGCTGCCTGGCGCCAGAGGCCCATCCACTGCACCGCCGTCGCACGTGCCTGCTCCCCCAACAGTCCCAATAATCACCAGCCGGCGCTCAGCTGCTGCTCCAGGGCCTGCCGGCCTCCAGCGACGCCCCCACCCCGGGGAAGGGCGGTGCCACGAGCGCCGAGGGGTCTGCAGCGGCAGGGCACGGCATGCTCAATTGGCCCCCGGCCGCATACATCCCCACCTTCAGGATGCCGCCCCCTGGGTCGGTCACCCTGTCCGGAGGCAGCCCCTCCTCAGGCAGACTGCCGCCCATTCCGGGGCCCCTGTAGCCCTCCCCCTCGATGCTCAGGTTGGCTATGGCGGAGGAGAGGTAGGGCACAGCTTCCAGGATCGGCGGCGTTGGGTCTGACTGCACCGGCCCGCGTGGCAGGTGCACGTGCAGATGCGGATTCTGGAGATCGGGCATAGACGCCACGCCCATCGGGTTGGCCCCAAGGAGCCCTGTGGACAGGCCCACAGGCACCTGGCCCTGGTACCCAAAGGCCGATCCAGTGCTGAGCGCCTCGATGCTCGGCAGCCCGGCCTGGTTGAAGTTGCCATTTGCAGCCGGGTTGCCAAACGGGCCCGGGGGCTGCATGGGGAGCTGGGCGTCTCCAGGGGGCACATAGGAAGCCAACGGAAAGCCGGGGGGCACACCGGCAAAAGCGGGCAGCGCCGCGGGTGGCGGGCAGGCCAGGCTCGCATGGGCACCCACCACAGGGTCGAAGCCGGCCGGCATGCCACCCGTGGCCATGTCGTTGCCCCCCCGGTTCATGTACAGCTCGCTCAGCTGGTCGATCAGGTCGTCCCTGCCGCCAGGTTCATGGCCATAGCCCACTGCGTGCGGCCCAGAGTCGCTTGGGGAGTAATCGTAAGGCTGCTGGACGCCCGGCAATGGGGCGGGGAGGGCCGCTGCTCCCGCTGAGCCCCTGCCCTGCAATTCCACACGCTCTTCCGGGCCAGCTTGCATCCCTGCAGGGGCGGACGCCTCTGCGGACTCTCCCCCGACGCTGGGGGCGCTTGGGGGGTTGGCGTCGGGCTCGGAGGGCTGTCCTTTGGGGCCCTCCACCGGCCTCCTGGCCGCCAGCTTGTTCAACTGGCTGATCAGGTCCTCCCTGCTGATGGGGAAGACGTCGTTCAGGACGTCCGCCGCCGTCTCCGCCACCTCCACGCTCACCGTCGACAGCTCCTGCCCCTGTAGGATGCCGTCCACGGCCCGCTTCCCCCGCGCCAGTCCGTCTCCCTCCGTGCCCCCACACAGCGGCCCCATCCCCGCGCCCCTCGATCCATTCTCCCGTGCAGGCGATGCTAGCCCCATGTGCTCGCCTATCCCACCCCCCAGCCCCCCCTCCCCCCGACCCTGCCCCTCATCTGCCTCATCACACCCCACCTTGCCACTTGCCCTTGGCTGGCGGGCAGCATGCGCCTCATCCCCATCTATGTCCTGATTCACCGGCGACAGCAACAGAGGGAGTCCAGCCCCGTCCCTCCCTAGCAGCCCCTGGCTGTGCCCGCTCTCCAGGCTGCCACCCAGGGTGGCGTCGATCCCCGTCTGGGAGATCACCAGCTTACCCTCCCCGTCCTGGCTGCACTCGTACTCCGCCTTCACTCTCCCCTCCATGCTGCCCCACAATGGGACCAGGTCCTCGCCACCACGCTGCGCCCGGTCCCGGAGGTCCGCGCCCGGGAGCCCCCTGGTCTTCTGGCGGGCCGGGGGGCTAGCCAGCGGCCCACAAGAGTCCTTGGAGCTGGACGTTGGCGAGGGGCAGTGGCTGGCGGGGTGCGTAGTCGGGCTCCAGGACACATACCTGGGCACGACGTCGATGGAGGGCTTGTACATCACGATCTCGCCCTCGATGTCCTCGTCCTCGAGCGCCACGCCCATCAGGCCCCCCGTCACGTGCATCACACCGGACGTGACGCCCGATGACTCCAGGCTGCTGACTGAGCCGCCGAGTCGCGAACAGGCGCTGGTGCCCACCGATGCCGACGCGCCCCCGGCCAGCAGCGACGCTCCAGCTTGGCTTACGGCCCACGGCGACGCTGGGAAGTCAGCAGGCGCCTCGTACGAGTCTTTGCCACCGCCGGTGCCCGATGGGTCCCTGGACTGCAGCACAGCCACAACGATGCGCTCCATTGCCGCAGCCATCCTCTGCCCTGCCCTCTTCCTGCACAGCAGCATAAATTCGCACTCAACAAGCGACAATCCCTCCTGGAAATATCAACCAAACGAAGCAAGAAGCAGATAGCTGCGCTCCTCTTGCACATGCCCTGCCATCTTGTGGAAAAATCAAACAGGCACACATCCACATATGTTCATTTCCTGCAGTGTAAATTCTTGACCAAGGCCCACTGCACGTGCACCACCTGCGCAGCAGCCCGTGCAGCGTCCTCGCCAGCTGCTCGCATTTCCCCCACAGCTTCATTCCACGTGCAGCCTCCAGGGGCTCCCCCTCCCACACCGGCACGTCAAAGTCCACATCCCCCGTTGCCTGCGTCAGCGGCAGGAAGCTCCGCAGCTCAAGCTCCTCTGGTATCGGCCGTCTGCCCTCTCCTGGTTTTGGCGCCTGGTGCTGTGTCAGAGACGCCGCCATCTGTGCGACAGATATCCAGAACCCTGCCGTCGTGTCGTCATCCACATCGCCACAGATGTCGAAAACGTGCTGCACGGACCAGGAGAGGATCACAAAGGCAGGCCCAAGGAGGAGGGCACCCACATCGCGGCCATGGCAGCCCCACCCAACAGCGGACAACAGGGCTGTTGCAACGTGCAGGAAGAGGCTGCGTGCGTGCCGCTGGCCCTGAGGGCCCTGGGACCGTGTGCCCGACGAGCGGGGCAGGTTGCCAGGGAAGGAGGAGGAGGCGCAGTGCATGCCGAAGATCGCCAACACTGCGATCTGGAACATCGGGTTGCAGGAGGGGGAGCTCTGCTTGAACTCGTCATAGAAGTCGGGAGCACGCAGCACCGAGACCTGAAGCGCACAACCAAGCACGCCTGTCATGCCAACCACTTGCTTCGCCACTGAACAATAGCATTATGGGATGCAAGATGGGCCATCTCAGCAAGGAAGATCCAAAAAGGAAACAGTTCTCAAAAGAGAACAGGTCTAGAATGGCCGGCCCTTAGAAACACCACTGGGACTCTGTACCACACAGGATGAGGATGCATGGGTTGACAGTAGATGTCTCTGCATGGAAGGGAATTGGAGCACACCAACGACCTATACTTGTTGATGCCAGTGTTGCTGTTGAAGCTGACAGGTAAAGATTGTCCGCCAATGTTTTCACCCTTACCCAATTCAATGCAAACTGGGCTGGAGCCATTGCCCGTGTGTGTTTCAATAGTGCCCCTTGCATATGCAGCTTGCCAATCGACTTGGGTCACACAGCAATAAGGGTGTCTGAACAGCAGTTGACAACGTTCACTCTACAATTGCAGAGGTTCTGGTTCCGCATGTCTTTCAGTGGAGCTGCTAATTCCAAATCCACCACAAGCAAACACAAGAGAATGAGAATGCAGGGAGGAACGTTTACCCCCTCAGTCATGCTTCCAAGCAAGGCATTAATGCACACATTGCCAAGCTGGATGCAGGGGTGGCCAGATGGACAGACAAAGTACCTTGAGGGGCTACGCAAGCGCACGTTGCACCACCTCTCAAAGCTGACAACTCCAGCAATCAAAAGCATGAAACATGCACTCAGCAGTGCATCACAGCAACAGGATGTGCATGGCTCACCACGTCAGCAACTACATCATCCACGCTGGAATTGAAGTCATCTGAAACCTGGCCTTCGTAAACCATCATTACCACCTTCTCGATCCGCAGTGCAAGTCCCTCAAGCGCCATGCACAGTGGCCGGCCATGGCCGATCGGATCGCCAGCGTCCTGTGCCAGATTGTTGCAGGCCCTCTGGTTCCTCTCCCACAGTTGCGTCAGGTTGCCATGTGCCTGTGGGAAGTGGTGCTCGCTTGACAATGCCCTGGAAGACCACAGTTATTTTCAGAAGCCCTGGACTACAGCAGCCAGTCCGATCAAAAGGACTACCTGGAAGCCATGTGTTGAGCCCACCAGAGTGCTTTTTCAAGTTAAGACTCTCAAGCTCTCAAAGTCGTGAGCAGTCGTGCCCTTTGGAACAACGGCTACTGGGCAATTTCAGGCATTCTGAATGCAATGTTGCCCCACTCTGGCTGTTGCACTTCACCCATCACACTGACCTTTCTGAAGTTACTCCATCTGGTTGCAAGGAGCACCAACTGGGATGCACTCACCTGGCATAGTAGTATGCCGACTGAAGGTGCTTTCGCTTGTGGAGAGCCATCACCGCCAGCTGGTTCAGCGGCTGCCCTCCCTCTGGCCACACCCTGGCGGCCTGCTTGTAAAACCACTCCGGGGGAGCAGGGTCCACCTCTGCAGCCAATTTCTGGGATACTTCACCACGATACCTAGCAAGGAAGAAACATGAGGTTTAAATCAAGCATCTCCAATTGTGTATGTGCTGTGCAGAAACCAGCCATGGCCAAGCAAGCCCATAGAGCCATCAACTTGTTTCTCAAGTCCTGGAACTGAAGCACTGAGGACTTGTGTGAGGCTGCACAGTGCACAGCACTGCAGGCAAGTGTTCCATTCAGCTGTGTATGTCAGCAGGGACAACTTTGGCACAGAGCACCAAATGTGATGACGATGCTATGAGTATCACAATGGCGCTTCAAAGATGACCCAGTTTTTCTGCGCTTTCCAAAACATTAAACGAACCAATACGCAGTGTCCCAACGGCCAACATGATGCTATCGTTCTGCATTGGCCAAATGTCATCAAGGGCCAGGATGGTGCTGCCAATGAACTTGAGGGTGGTGTGCGGAGCGTCCAAGATTACAAAGCATCCCTCCCCGTTCCAACATCCACACCCGACATACCTGGTCAGGTCTCCCAGGATCGTCAATATTCTCCCACAAGTGGCATGCACATCCACTGAGGGCTTTTCATTGCTTGGCAATGAGGGTGGTGGGGTGGCGTCAGGGTGGCCAATGGCACCCACACTCCCGTGCCGCACCTGAAGCTCCTTCATGAGCCCTTTGTAGAAAAAATTCGCCGAATCGAGCAAATTGAGGAAGGCAACAGCGTCCTGGAGTTCAGGAGCCAAGCATGTCAACTTCAGCTTGGCAAACTATGCACTTTCAAACTAGGACAAGCCTCAACAAAAAAGCACGTTCGAGTTTCCTGGCCCCTGAAATTCAACTCTCTTGCGGAGCATGCCATGTTTTGCTAGCAAAGACAATACTTAAACATTTTGGGACATCCTGCAAGCAAGTACCATCCACAGGTTCAAGGGGCTGAAGCAGACATATGATCAACTTTCACCAAATTTGTCTTTCCAGCAAAGAACCCTGCCCCTCTTGGCAACTGAGGGCCAGTTGTGCATGCAGTGGGTTGAGTGCCAAAGAAACAGGATATGATACAAGGCATTCCTCAGAATTGGCCATTGTCTTGAGGGAGATCACACAGCCCTGTCTCATACAGCCAGAACAATCCAAGTTGTGTGTTGACATTGTGGCGCGGCGTGCATTCCCTTGAACAACAGAGTTCATGACTCAGCACGTGGAGCCTGACACCACAGCCTCAACAATGCCCCAAGTGCTGAACCCCGTTCCCTGACCTTCTTCAGTTTTGCTGTCATCTTGTCATCCTGCTTGTCATTGTTGTTGAGTGCAAGCTGTGTGGTGCGGATCCTGCGGCGCAGGATCTCCAGCTGTCTATAGTACACATTCTTCCACAGGGACGCCTCCACATCATGTTCCTGAGGCGAACAGCCAGAACATGGGAACTGTGAGGCCCAAAAAGGTGCAATACATCATCGTGCTGTCCCGAAATAGCCTTGTTGCCGAACAAAGCTACACAAGCGAATGCTATGGTTTCTAGCAAACGGAAATGAATGTTGGCAAAAAAAAGTACAATGCATCAGACTGGGCAACACCTCCATTTGAACCACAGTCTCTTGCACCTAACAATAGCGACTTTCGATGCGCTGAAGTTTTGGACAACCTCCATCTGTGCAAGCGACACAATTGGTTTGGAGAGCTCCAAGCCCAGCACAGCAGGCAATCAGCGATGAAAAAGGTGTGGAACAAACACAAATAGCGCTCAGGGATCCCAAAGGAACAGGCCCAAAAGGGTCACGAGTGGCAAGGCGACAGCAGGCCGTGGCGATCCCTACCTTGGCGGCATGAACACACTATCCCATCCAACTTCTTTCCAAATTGGGGACACTCCACCCTTTGACCCTATGGCCTGGCCATTGGGCCTGTGCCCACCGCACAGCTCCCCCTGAAACGGACAGCGCCGCCGCCCGAATCTCCCCTGACAGACGCCACCCTCCCCAAGCACGCCAGATCGCGAGCCCTTCCAAGCGGCGCATTCCCAGCGTCCTGCCAAAGGCAGTCCCGTGCGACCTGCCGGTCGCTCCCCGGCCCACGCCGCTGTGAGGCGGGCCACTGACCCGCCATCCCCGCGATCCCGCCTCAAAGCAAATCCACCTTCCATCTCCCCACCACCTACACCCCGCCTCTCACTCGGCGCTCCGCGATTTGCTCCATCGAGCCCCCCAGCCTGGCCCTGCTCCCGCACCCGAAATGTTTCCAACGCGCGTTTGGCCAAAACAATTGCGACCAAAAAATCCAACACCCGTTACACCGCACACACACACACACGCCCGTCCGCGGCCCCCTCCACCACCCACCTGTGCCTCCTTGTGGTGCCAGAGTATGAGCTGCGCATAGTGCTTGCGCACTTTGCGCCGCAGGCCGTTGTACTGCTCTCCACCCGCACCGTTGGCCTCCAGCAGCACCACCAGCTTACGCTCCAGCGCGCCCGCCTCGCGCAGGAGGCTCTCCGCGTCCTCCGGGCCCCGGGCCGCCAGCATCGACTCTAGCGGGGGCGCCCGGCCGCGCCCTTCCGCTGCCGACCCGGCAGCCCAGGCCGGCCCGCGACCCTGCCCGCAAAACATTCCCCCACGAACCAATCCTCAAAAATCCCATCTTCGAAGGGAACCTCTTCCAAATCAGCAACTTGGGCGCGTCTCTGCGAGTGTGGAGATCCCAGCTGAGTCCAAGACGGGGGGACAATTGCGGCGCGGATTCCGCGGCAAGGGGATGGCAATCGGGGCTCGCTCCGGCACCTACAAGTGCGGCATCTCCGCCGGGCCGGTCCCGCCCCATCGGGCGCTCGGTGCCGGTGGGGACGGGGCCCGGCCTCGCGTGCCGGGGGGTGGGGCGCGCCGCCTGCCGCGCCGCCCGTCCGCCCGCACCTCCTGTTCCTCCCTTATTGTGCCCTCGTGCCCGTGGAGCTTATTGGCGCGCCGCGCTCCACGCGGGCCGCCCGGCGTGCGGCTGGGGGGGGGGCTGTCACGGCGGGCCGCATCGAATGCCGTCCGCGGGGGCGAATCTGGGGCATATGGCGGCCGCCCCCAAAGGCACTGGCGGCGCGGCGCCAGAGTACGGCCCCGCTCAGTACTGCGCAAAGTACGCGGGGGGATGCGCTGAACCGCGGGGCTGACCAATCGAAAATAGCCGCCTGGATACCTTGAGGCGTTCCCATCCTGTGTGCACCATACCTGCCTGCACACTATGTAGTGGTGCACTGCGCTGCAAAGCGGCAGAGCGGGAAGGGTCCCTATCTTATTACTGCTTGGACGGGGGTGCTGCTGCTTCGTATGCTGCGGCTTCCTGGGACTGCAACACAACTTGACACGCGCGACACGGTTCCGCTCAGTCGCCTAGAAAAGTAGCAAGTCCTCCAGCCAAGGCCAGCTCGGATCCTACCCGCAGGGTGGACCCGTTCGCCGCCGGCGGGGTGGCCCATCCCCCGATGCCCGCGCCCAGCGCGGTGCCTGGCGTGAGCTGGTGGCTCAGGATCGGCACCCAATTGGCCAAGGCGGGATTCAGGCGGGGGCCCAGGGCGTCGCAGGCGGCAGTCGGGCGCAGGCATGGCGGCGAGGAGGGCGCGGGGAGGGTGGCGCGGGCGCCGGCGCCTGGGGCCGGGGCCGGACGGGTGAGGGGCGAGGCGCAGAAGGTCAGGGCCGACGGGTACGGCGTGGAACAGATTCAGGTGAGGGAGGGGTTGGCGGGGATTGGCGCGGAATCGATGCAGGGGATGTTTGGTGATCACATCAGTGGCCAGAGGGTTCCCCCCTGGTTTATGGGTCCTTTGTGGTGGGTCCTTTGTTTATGGGGGTGAAGTGTGCGGGGAGGGAAGGGATGAAAGAAGGGGGGATGCGGTTGAGATTGGGGGGCTGACGCGGGATGGGTGCACGGTTCGAAAGGCCTTTCCGCCGGGATCGGGAGTGGGCATCGGGCTGAACAGCAGCAGGAGCAGGGCGAAAGCTGTTGGGACCGATGTGTGCATGGCCCATTTCCCCGCGCGAGCTAACGGATCGCATTGCGAAGCCATGTACGAGCTGCACTTGTGAATGTCCGTCCTCAGAAACGGCTGCAGTGCTTTCCTCGGGGCCTTCCTTGTGATTTGTTTCATTCACTCCCGATGCACAGGCATCGCCCGACTGCTCCCCTTGGTCGCCCACCCGTGATTCATTCTTTGTTTGGTTATTTTTTGGGGATTTGCGGGGACCAGGTGTTGGGCCTGGGTAAGCCCTTGTTCAGTTTGACGAAGAGATTCTTGCCCTCCATTCCTGGTGACGTTATGTTCTGGGTTTCATGGATAAATTCTTTGCAGTGCTTTGGTGTG